TGTCTCTTATACACATCTAGATGTGTATAAGAGACAGGTATAGCAGCAGCCATGCTAGCAAAAAATATACCCTAGAAATAATGTCGACTGCACNCTATACTCAGTCACTGGTCACACTTAATTTTTGACTTGAAAGCTAAAGACGCTGAACTGAACTTACAGTTACTGAAGTGTGAAGTGCGGAACATGTGGCGAATAATGGATCAATTGAATGCGGCGGAGAATCATTATCAGGCGATTCCGTAATTTTAGAAGCAGACACGACTAGCATACGCCCTACATTAGCATATCACCAATAATATATAACACTAGTACACTACACTGGTGTGGTGTCAAAAGAAATGGAAATCTTGAACCATAGCATTTGAGCATTTTGAGGCAGATATACCTGTTCTCTGTTTAAACATGTTAGCCTAAATGATTAATCACCTTAACACCTTTCATTTATCCTTAACACCTTTACTTTCAAGTGAAACCTGACGATCACTTCAGGTTTCACAGCCCACAGGTTCAAATTTCAACGCTGATATCTCAGAGATTTTTCAACCTAAAGAGTTTGGAGCGATGAAATAAGGTGAATCAATCACTTATAACTTATGCAATATAAATCATCACTCAATATAAATTATTGATCATAACAGCATTTAGCACTTGCCAATAGTGCTTAGCGCTAAACGACCTCTTATGGTTTAAGTTTTAACTTACTTCAATGCTCTTATCTCAGAAAATATTCCAACCCAGAAAGTGCAGAGTGATGAGATAAGGTGAATCAATCATTTATTCAATGTACATAATCACTCTGCACTCTCTGAGTCTCTGGCACTCTGAATTGAACATTTTCTGAGATATAAGCATTGAAGTAGTTGACCCGTAAGAGGTCATTTTACGCTAAGCACTATTGGGCTGAGTATTGGCGAGTGCTAAATGTTGTGGTCAAGTGCAGAGTGATTATTTACAGTGAATAAGTAATTGATTCACTTTATTTCATCAGTCCTCACTCCTCACTCTCTGGGTTGAATATTTTCTGAGATGTAAGTGTTGAAGTAGTTAAACCGTAAGAGGTTGTTTTGCGCTAAGCACTATTGGCAAGTGCTAAATGTTGTGGTCGAGTGAAGAGTGATTATTTACATTGAATAAATGATTGATTCACCTTATCTCATCACTTCGCACTTTCTGGGTTGAATATTTTCTGAGATATAAGCGTTGAAGTAGTTGAACTGTAATAGGTCGTTTTGTGCTAAGCACTATTGGCGAGTGCTAAATGTTGTGGTTGAGACTTGAGTGAGGAGTTTTACTGATAGTGCTGTGTGGTGGTTTAAATTAAAATATGATTGATTAATTTCCACTGTGTTTATATAAGATGCTTTTATAGTCGTAAGATTCGACTGTTCAATGACTGATAAGGCAATAAGTTTAATTCGACTGATAAGGCAATAAGTTTAATTGTATGAACATGAGTATAGTGCCATTTTAAGCATATGTTATTTGTCAGATTTTAAATTTTTTTTTTGATTTGTAGAACACAAAAAGGAGATATATATGCGTAGTTTGAGTGCTTAATTTTTCAACATATAATAATGAAAAATGTTACTTTACTTCTTGGCAAATTCACGGAATTTGTTCAGCCGTGGCGTTCCATCGATCAATTGTTTGCCACTTCAGTGACTTCAGCGTCTTTGTCATCTTCAGCTTTTAAGTGTTAAGTCATATCTCCCCTGTATGGGGGGGGATGACTCTGTCTCTGCTTCCTCAAGAACAAGAAGCAGACAAAACAACAACAGAATGGTGATTTGAGGCTTTTGAGCATTGATTTGGCTGCATTTTAGCATTTGGTGATTTAGGCCTATTGTTTATTCTGAACAATTACCTAACATAGCAAAATTTTTACACTTAGTTCAACTGTTCAAGCATGGAAAACTTCTAACCTTAGGAGTTACGGCAATAGTGGCAAAGCAGAGAGTTTTTTTTAATCTTACTCGAGTTCATTTTTGAGTCTTAGTATAAGGTAATAAGTAGGTAGACCAGTAAAGTATCGTGGATACCATCATAGGCTACCAGCATTATCATACATAAATAATTGGTTAAAATCTTGAGTAAATGAAGAAATTAAAAATGAACTGATTCTAAAAAATCCCTGGTTGGTCACTATGCAGTTAGGGCTGCGACTAGAGCTTTCCCGCCATTTCTGCAACTGCAAGATTTCTGCCAGATGAATTACCTCTTATATAATTGTTAACAAAAATGCATGAGCAGGCCGCGAGATTCCAAATGTATCAAAAATTTGTCACATTGAAGCCGTGAGATTTCAGAAACGAGTAGGAAATTTCTAATCCTGATTTGGTTCAATGTTATGACACATTTTTCGATGATCTCACCACGTGGCATGCATTGTCTCTCTTTGGATCTCAATATTTTCCCACTAGATGGCCAAGACCTAGTGTTTTTGCAGTATTTCGACACGCAAATGTATGACGTCACTATTTCAACCATCAATGAACGCATGGAACTAAAACAAAGCTTAATATAAAGGGAAAGCTGGAGAGGTGACGGAATTACCTACGATGTCGGAATATACCGCGTTTACCCTATACCTTAATATTTAGGTAAATAAAATTATTGGCACTGATTTTTTTTATTCATTCGGCCCGCATAAATATTGGAAATATATAATGTGGCCTGCACTGTGAAAAGTTTGGAGACCCCTGCTCTAGACTCTAGAGTCCAGGCTGCACCAGCCGCCAGCACCCATCGGCACAGCAGCCCAGGCTGGAGGCTGGCCTGGCTGGATTATTTGGCTATATGAATCCTTGTGTGAAGACAAGCTAAGTGCTAGGCAAGGGTAACTCACTGGTTGACTAATCAGGTACCCAATTAAACTCTCATAAGAGTGATAAGACACAGATATGTTGCCTAGCTAATGGCTTTCATTCTTACAGATGAGATTGGCTTGCCAGTTGAGGGAGCTATTTTGGGCTATGTGGTCGTGGTGTATGAAAGTATGACACTCCACACTCACACAGTCACACTGTAATAATGACAGTATGAGGTGGGAAGACTCTGACTCTACTTCCTCAAGAACAAGAAGCAGACAAACAACAACAGAATGGTGATTTAAGGCTTTTGAGCATTGATTTGGCATTTGGCGATTCAGGCCTATTGTTTATTCTGGACAATTACCTAACATTGCTAACAATGAATAACATAGCAAAATTTTCACACTTAGTTCAAGCATGGAAAACTTCTAACCTTAAGTGAGTTAGGGGTCACAGCGGCCACAGCCGGTCACTTAGGGCTGCGACTCCTAGAGCTTTCCCAACATTTCCATTTTCCAGAACTGCAAGATTTTTGCCAGATGAATTACCTATTCTATAATAATAATTGTTAACAAAAATGCATGAGCGGGCCACAACTCACAAGATTCAAATGTATGAAAAATTTGTCATGTTGAAGCCGCAAGATTTCAGAAACAAGTAGGAAAATTCTAATCCTAATTTGGTTCAAAGTTCAAGTTAGTTGCAACTTGCAAGTCTCAAACCTGCCACTTGATGCTTGCTGTGCTGGACTGTCCAGCCTGCCACCTTGCCTTTCAGTTTAACCATAACTGTCAGATTGCTGGGAATCCCAGCAATCTGACAGTTATGGACTTATGGTCAAACTGAAAGGCATGAATTGAAAAAAAAAACTGGGATTGAACCAGATATTGGGCCAGATTGCTGCCCGCTAGGAATACCTAGGATTGAACAGGAACCCAATACTCACTGCCTGAATTTTGCAATTTCGGTGCACTTGAACTGACATCACTGTGCCACCCTGCATCAATTAGCATTAAAATGACCTGATCCTAATGTGCACTTGCCCCATCTTCATGGGGTTAAGCTGCATGTTCTCAATACGGCATGGGGCATTCCATCATTTCAGCGTCATTGTTAAATTTATTTTGGTCATTTAAGAGTTGAGACAGTTGTCTCATTTGTCTGTGCCACAACTTGGTGAGTTGGTGGGAAATGCCACTGGGAAGTGACAACTTGGCAACAAGTTAGAATGAACTTGGTATGCATGTTGAAATGTACCAAACTAGAAACCTAATCAGAGTTATCTCTCACTAAATTTTGAAAATAATGTAGACTGTGCTGTGGTATTGGTGATGCAATGGCAAGTGGCACTGGCATGTTGACACTTGACAAAAATTTGAAAGAGTGAAAGCAGTAAGTTATGGAACAAAATAGTTTTATACTGATAACTGGCTACTGAGTACTGGCTACTGCTGATGCTGAGTGCTTCCTGACTTAGAATTTTCATACGTATAAATGAAATATTGCAGTTCAGAGGTAAATTTGCAGCTCCAAAATAAATTTGGAATCTAGCAACCTAATTGCACTTCTGGCTTAGAACTGTTAAAAAGTAATTTGGAGGTAATTGATCTGGTGGGGAAAAAATAAACTTAAAATAACAGGAAAGCTCTAGCCAGTTGCCCTGCTCCTTTAACCTGCTGTAGACAACTGCTGACCTTGCTGACAATACCCATTACCCCATGTTTATATGCTTAACATGAAAACATGTTTAACATGCTTAAAAACATGTTTATATGCTTAAGAAGTTGGAAGCTAAATGTTTATGCTTCACTCTTCAATTGAAGACAGACAGATGGAATAATTGCTGAAAATGTATTTTTGTAATAATACAATATATTATTATAGGTCCATTATTAAAAACTCTATTATTCTTCATTCAAATTTCAAATTGTCCATTCAAACTCTATTGTTAGTAGTTGCAAGCTGATATGTTTTTTTTTAATTATCATTATCTTATTGATTAGTAGTAGGGTGCAAATTTTAACTTGGAAAGTATCTAAAAATTAGGAACCTGAGTTTTGTCTGGTGAGTGATGATTGAGGATGTATATACCTCAGGTGACAGGCTCAAAGCTTTATAGCATCCACATGTTGGTATTTATTGCCAAAGTTCACTGCATTTTATAATTTCTCCATTTCTTCATTACAGGTTTGATTAGAAGTTTTAAATCCCATATCTTAATTAGAAATCAGGAAATGATTTAATTCAGTGTCAGGGACTCACGGTGTCACTTTACTGAGAAAACAACAAATATTTTATCTACAAGATGTCAGTTGTAGTGGAGACCACCATTGGAGACTTCACAGTTGACCTCTATACTGAGGAACGCCCTAGAAGTAAGTATGGGTTTCAAAGTATTGATGAATTTCTTATACCATTGAGTTATATAATAACTTATGTGTCAGAGGCACTGGCAAGCTCTATTGCTCATAATTTTACTTAAAAGTTTGAAGGTTGACTTCCTTTTTTATTTGAAAAAAATAACACTTGCAATAAACCTGCTCCAATGAGCATTTAGTCCTGTAGTTCAGAAGCTACTAATACAGTGAATGTATTCCTATGTGTACATTGTGAAACATGTTTTTTAATCTAATCACTTAATTACAGGTATGAAAGGTTGTATTTATGGATTAAGATTTTATGGTAATTTTCATGTTAATATTTGACTCGCCCTTGCAGCTTGCCTGAACTTCCTGAAGCTGTGCAAGCAGAAGTACTACAACCTGAACCTGCTGTACAGCGTTGAGAGGAACTTTGTGGCTCAGACTGGCGACCCCAGCGGCACTGGCCGTGGAGGTTTGTTCCAAAGCCCACAAGCTGGAATTTGTGTTGTACTTGCTTTTTAGTGTATTTTCTATGATAGAGAGTGGAAATAATTTTAAGAAAGTGCATTCCATATCACAACAGTAAAAATATTTCATTCATGACTAATGTGTTATTTTCTTGAAATTTATAATCTATCATATCATTCAAGTGCTTCTTGGAATAATGAAATATGGAAGCTCTGGAAAAAATTTATTGCCTGTGATAAACATGGACTGATGGAAAAGAAGTTTTTTTTTTATAAAAGCACTAAACTAAAAAAGAAATAAAACTTAGTTTTTCAAACTTGTTTTAGGGCTTGTCATAATTGATAGGTTTCTTTAGCATCTTGGAGAACAATGTAGGTAGATATCAATCTTATATCAATATCAATCCATACAAAAAACGATTATCACAATGTCAAGAGTTGAGCTCTTTAAGAATGTAAGATGCTCTGCCTGAACATCAGTTGATATTACCTATAAATGGCTGGCATTATTGGATTTCAGCATTTAATGTACTACACTCGTTTGATTTTATTATCATTGCCCTTAATTTTATTTTTTCATTTTAATTTGATGCTGCTCATTATATAAGATGTTTTTGTGTTTCAAACCTTGTGATCTGATATCCATCTGCCAAGCTCTTTATTTTGAGTGCTTCTGTATCAATTGTACCCAATTTAGCTGCTGCTTTTCTTTGCAATGTTGTGTCCTTGAGTCATTTTATTTGCTAATGACACACTTTTTAATACTTTGAACTTTTTTGCCAACTTTAGATTCAATTTACATGTTGCTTCCATGTCCAGCTTTGATTGGTATTTTTTAAAGAATTTAATTTTTTTTTAATTCAGAGGTGCTTCCATGTCCAGCTTTGATTGGTATTTTTTAAAGAATTTAAATTTTTTTTAATTCAGAGGTCTAAACATTTCTGATCCAAGTTACTATTTGTATATGAAGCCCTGATGATGAGTGTTGCGATTTGTAGCCACATGTGCTGAAAACAAAGTCACAGTGGACTTTTTAAAGTCCATGTTGCCATGCACACTCACAGTGACAAAGTAAGCAATGCTACTCCCTCCCTTATTGAGGTATTACAGCACCTGTTTTTTGTACAGGCTCATCAATCTTCAGCAAGATGTTCGGGGAATATAAATAAACCTTAGATTTAATACGGAATAGGAATGCCTTATTATTATTATTATTACCACGTTTTTCTTAGCTTCGTTTTGTGTGTCTGTCATCAAAAATTCAGACCTTAATTTAAAGCTCTTCTGAACATCCTAGAAACTTTAAATTTGGCTTGCATGCTAATGCTGTCTAACAATTCAAGATTTGATCATCAGAAATGATAATTTAAATTTTTTTAAGAAAAAAAAAATAAAAATTCACGGTTTGGAATTGAGTTTTGTCTCGAACATCCACACTTGCTAACCATGGAAAGTTATTTGAATTGCTAAAATTGCTGACTAAAAAGTAGAAAATGAATAAATATGAAAAATATTTTTAAAAACCACGTTTTTCTGGTTTTTACAAAACTAAAAATAGTGAAATAAAACTAATAAAAAAAAACTTTGAAACCACCTTTTCTTAACGGACAAAAAAGAAAAACATTTAGGTAGGTACTCCTACATAACATTACATGACATTTTACATAACTTAAATGTTATGTAAAAGTACCTAAATGTTTTTCTTTTTTGTCCGTTAAGAAAACGTATTTTTTTAAAGTTTTTTTATTTGTTTTATTTTACAATGAATCTGCCACTGACCCTAATGGAATGTCTGGTTCACAAAAAAAAATTAATACTTTTTAGTTATGGGTCCATAAAATTACCATGCTCCTAATATAAAATAATTCATGCAGCTATATAAATCACTGAGTGCTTGTAATCAAGCGAATGATCTTAAAGTATAGTAGTGCTGAAACTTGAAGTTCAGATTTCATACACATGAACAATAAAACGCATGTGCTATTCACTGAAGTTATCTTTCTGATGCATAACTTGTGAATTTGTCTTCTACTTCTCGTAATTTGTTGACGCAGCTGATTTGTAATAGCAAAAAAATGTGTTAGTTCAGCCAACTGGTAGAACTGTTTTGAAATAAATTCACTTCCAAAATTGAAGAGTAGCTGAAATTGATGAGTATCTCAATTGTAGGTGGTATGTTTTATACCTAAATTGTTGATACCATTATTTTGATGACGTAACGACTACATGCTACTTGCCAGACTCAGTTTAATTTCCAGAAGATACCAATTTGCCAGTCTTGTGTAATGTTACTGCTACAAAGCTTTAGTGTTCAGTGTTGTGCCAATATCATGATCACATTGCGACTGACCTCCACTCAACAGAAATATGAAACGTAATTATACCCACACCACTTTCCTGCTCCATTTAAATGTCATGGTTTAACACCAGAAAAGACTAGACTAGAGATTACAATTATTTTTCTATCATCTACTTTAGCTTTAAATTTTGATGTTATTTTTTTCCAATGACACTGGCATGCTGGAGAGTAAATGGGTTTCCAGCTTCCATTTTACATCAACGTCTCTTCATCTGCCCTCATTGAGCAGGTACGGGTCACAGTTTTTCGTGACGCTGGGAGAGCAGCTCGAGGCTTTGGATGAAGAACATCTCGTGTTTGGGCGGGTCACTGAGGGTTTGGACGTCATCGCTAAGCTCAATGATGTGTTAACGGACGAGAAGAACCGCCCTTACCAAGACATTCGCATCACACACACCGTGATTCTGGACGATCCATTCCCTGACCCTGATGATCTTGAGTTCCCTGATTCCTCGCCACCACCTACAGCAGAGATGTTGGCGTCTGATTACATCGGCGCAGATGAGGACATTGAAGCCTCAAAGGATAAGGATATCAAGGAAATTGAGGAGGAAATAGCCGAAAAGGAAGCCAAAGCCCGAGCTACCATCCTTGAAATGGTAGGAGATTTGCCAGATGCCGACATGGCTCCTCCAGAGAATGTCTTGTTTGTGTGTAAACTGAACCCCGTCACCACTTCTGAAGATCTTGAGATCATCTTCAGTAGGTTCGGAAAAATTAACTGCACGGAAGTTATCAGAGACAGAATAACTGGCAAGTCTCTTCAATACGCATTCATTGAGTTTGACAACAAGAAATCCTGTGAAGACGCCTATTTTAAGATGGACAATGTCGTCATTGACGATCGGAGGATACATGTTGACTTCAGTCAGTCCGTGTCTAAGGTCAAGTGGCAAGGCAAAGGCCGCAACGTTCTGCATTTTGATGATAAAGGCAGACGTTTGCCCGACCAACATGGAGCGTTTTCTCACAAACCTAAACCCAAAAAGGAGAAACCGTCCAGTCGTTTTATCGACACGGCGGCTTACGCCCAGAAATACAAAGAAGAGCACAACCATCAGCGATTGAGCAACGGTGACTCGATGCGAAGACCTCACTCGGGCGGTAACGCGTCTCCTGGGCGGAGGCCTGTTGATGATCGCATCAGTGACCACAGCCGTCGTGAACATCGCGATATGGACAGCAGCAGAAACAATATGGACAGTTATAGACACGAGACAAACCACGGCAGAGACAGAAGCAGAAATGAGAAGCACAGAGACGAGTATGAGGCGAGAGGAGGTTCGAACTATCATGAGATGAACCGTGACAGGAATGTGCGGGATAGAGGCAGGCACGAATTGGACAGAGGCAGGCACGAATTGGACAGAGGCCGGCACGAATTGGACAGAGGCAGGCACGAATTGGACAGAGGCAGGCACGAATTGGACAGAGGCAGGAACGAGTTGGACAGAGGCGGGGTGCGTGAGGGAGACAAATGCAGGACGCATGAGGGAGACAGAGATAGGTATGATCCTGACAAAAATAAGTATCATAGGCACAGAGGAAGAGACTCTGATGAGATCGACAATGGCATCGACCGGCACAAGTCGGACGCAATCCGAGAAGATACGAATACAGACAGAACAGAAACGGATAGAATCAGACGTCACACGAACAATAAAAGACACGAGCTTAACACAGGAATAAGTCGGGATTTTGAGCTTGAATCTTTTCGTCGCGGCCCACGAGATTCGCCCTCGTCAGATCGCGACGACCAGACGACCGAGCGTCGCGAGCTCATGCAGCGGCTGCGCGCTGACCTCGGCAGCGGCGCACGCATCAAGAACAAAACCAAGCACCGCGACGACAGCGAGGCAGCACAGGAAAACAAATCCAAGAAGATTAAGAAGAAAAGGAAACTGAGTAGTTCTTCATCCTCTTCAGATGAAAAGGAATCTTCCCATAAGAAAAATAAGCGACGTAAAGAAAAATCTAAAAAGAAAACAAAGAAAAGAAATAGAAAAGTATCGTCATCAAGTGCATCTTCTTCTAGTGAGTCGTCTTCAGATTCTTCCTCGGATTCAGAAGAAGTAAAAAGACGGAAGAAAAAGAAATCAAAGAAAGTCAAACATTCATGATTTTATATTTATTAGCGCACGTCTTAGAATTATCTAATGAGGTAAATATTTGATTTTGAATTCCAATGCTTGTGCGCATTCATCAACGTGGATCACACCCGCAAACAAACGTGTAATTTAAATTTTCAATGAACAATTATTCTTGCTGGCTCTGAGTCAACATATCGCTGATATGCATATTTAGTTGCATCAAATGGTCTTGCCTGATCAAATAATCACAAAGCCCTTGCAATCCCAACTTTTTACCGGCGGTTGAATTATTCATATATGGTCCACTTCCGTATTGCAGTCGATGCTTGCGAGTGATGCAGCTTAGCTCAGTCCGGAAATTGTGCGCTCGTCCCGAGTGAGGATACCATAAAAAAATGACAGTACTGTGGTTTTTCACACATAATTTGCTATTTAAATATAGGATTAAAACCACCAAATCAAATTTCTTCCGACGTTTACTTATTCCTCGTACAAAGTACAAAGTTATATGCAGATTTAATACAATTATGTTACTTAACATAACTAAATATCCATTTTTCAGACGTTTCTGCTGATTTCTGGTTTAAACACTTGACATCAGTTCAATCGAGTACGGTACCTTGTCTGAATAACTCTTTTGTGACTCAAGGCAAATAACATTCAAGTGGGTAGGACAGCTTGAGAATGGGACTTTTTTATCCCTAGAGGAGTACTTTGCCTTCTGCAAGTAGATATTAAGCTTCGATTTTCAGCATGCAATTACTTTTCGTTTATAATGGCTCCATCATCATTCTGAGAGATTTTGAACGATGATGTGCATGCGGCAGATATATTTAACGAAGTGACCTGCCACGCAATGATGTATGTGTTTCTAACGAATCCATTACCTGCCCATTATCTTATTTGCAATATGACAAGTTCCTTGATGACAGGGTAAGTAGCCTTGAGAGTCGTTCAAAAGAATTACATTAAAAAGATGATCATCCTGAGAGTTATGATAAAGCATGTGCATGGATTATGCGTTCATTTTTAACATAAATTCAAGTTTATGTACATATTGGTATAATTCAGCAAAGCCATTCATAAGTAATTACAGATATATTAACTGTTTGATAAATGCCCTTGGATAGCAGCCTCCTACGTGAAGGAGATGCAGCATTGTTGGGAAACTCTTTTGAGGTACAAATTATTTTTCTGGCGACTACAATTGTGATAAGGAACTGGACAAAATCTAACAGCGGAATGAAACGGCTAAAAGCAAATATTACAAATGTAACGTTAGCAAGTATGGACGTTGATGATAGTAAGAACTTAAAATCTAAATTGAAAGATAAATGACGCCTTTTTTCCCAACGGCGTTCTGCATGAGATTTCTCAACCCACGTGCTAATATTGTAATACATTATTGGTGCTCAGCGAGAGTAATTGGCAAATGACAGAAAATTTCTGAATATCAGACAAATTTATCACTTTCAAACAGCCGGGACTTGGCATGAGAGCAACCTATAGTTTACAATTTCCTACTTCATGAATTATGCTCTCATGCAAACGTTCGGAAATTATTTCAAAAATTCGTTAAGTTGAACGCTGTGTTCTCTCCAGTTCTCGGCTTGTTTGAAAATCGACTTGATAGGTCGGGCATATAATATGGATACATGATAATATATATGACTCAAGTACCTATCGAATTCTGAGCTTTGCTTAGACGCGCATGTGTTTGATCACTTATCACTTGGGCCTTTATGGTGTGTGTCAAAGACATCACAGGCTAGGCTTGTTCAGCATCGTAATAATAGTCGTCGTAGTTGAAGTCAGCAATCGGAGCGGGCTGCGTGCTGGTGGTTGTGGTGGTTGATCGGCCTGAAGGAGGTCTTGCAAGACCTCGTCTTCTGCCTCCAAGTCCTGCTAGGATACGACGCACTTCTTCTTCTGGTGTATCCTCCAGCCGACCCACTTGCGTGATCACCACCTGCACCGACAAGGGATGGACAAATTGAAAATTCCGAGCCTGCAGCTACTCCACAGTCACAGCGCATGAAACGAAGGTAGCCTATGTTTCGGGAGGAAAATTATTTTCAGTTGCTATTCTTTCACTATAACACACAAATCCATTAACTTTCACTCAATAATGTTTGTATCTGTCCTGAATTTCCGAAATAATGTAAGCTGAAAAAATACCATGAAAATGTATCGTCTTGTCAGAAAGTCGCTTCACTTTTCCAAAATGAAACATAAATTGGCAATAAACTACATTCTTTTGTCTACTTCCGAAGGTCATCGATTTCAAAAGTTCAGAGGCACCCACTTGCTGGGGGCCGGGGAAGTGGAAGGGGTCGTCGTGGGCACAGTCACGGCTCTGGATGAGAGAACAAATTTGTAAGATATTTCGCACTGAAACACGTAATATTAAAAACGTTATGCATATTTAATCTAAAGCTATAACAATAAAAAAAGTTCAATGTCCGAGTCTTTTTAAAGCTAATATTTTATTTTCGACTGTGGCGTCTGCGACATAATCACACATTTCAAGGTACTATAGTTAACTGACATTAAAATATGAAATTTGAAAATAGTGGTGAATAAAACAGAAAGTCGGAAGAATACTGTACTACAAACAACAACGTCTTACTCGGGAAACATATCTATAATTTTGTTTAAATTAAGCATTTATAAACGGGGTTTAGCGGACAATTCAGGTTTAAAATGGGAGTTAGGTTACAATGGGAGAGTAGTCCCAGTTAATGCGGCTAACTTTAAAAAGAACGGGGAAAAGATTGGTTAGCAGAACAAGCATAGCATAGCATAATTAAACTCTTAAGTTAAACAGGAAGAGTAAGATATGAAAAAATTATCGAAGAAAACTGGACAGATCATAGTATTCAAGATTCGAGCTTAGACATCTTACGGTTCATTAAAATTATTTCATTGGAATTTGTATGAAACTGTTCGATTAGTTTCAGAGGGGCGGAGTCTTATGTTCTCACTTGGTAGTGGGAGCGGCAGGAGAGGCTCTGAAGCGCGTGCGAGGGCCTCTGGCAGGCTGGCGTGATGGGGGCAACTCGGTGTCTACAGATGATGCTTGAGGCGTGTCTCTTTCAGAAGTGTTGGTTGTGGTTGCCTTGGGAGTTGTGGTAGTGGTTGGCTTGGGGGTTGTAGTTGTCTTGGGAGTTGTGGTAGTGGTTGACTTGGGGGTAGTGGTTGTGGTAGGTGCTGGAGTGGTCGTTTCGGCTGTAGTAGGTGCTGGAGTGGTCGGAGTGGCTGTGGTAGGTGTTGGAGTGGTCGGCGTAGCTGTGGTAGGTGATGGAGTAGTNTACTGGAGTGGTCGTAGTAACTGTGGTAGGTGCTGGAGTGGCCGAAGTAGCTGTGGCAGGTGCTGGAGTGGTTTCAATGGCAGTGGTCATTGTAGATGTAGTGGTTGATGCAGATGTGGTGGTTGGTGCCAATGTAGTGGTGAGTGAAGGCGATGTTGTGGTTTTAGTAGGAGAAGATGTTGGGGTCGTTGTGAAAGGTTCAGAGGTTTTTATGGAGGTTGTAGAATGATCAGGAGTTGCACTGGATTCGTTGGTAGTTTCAGTTGATGTGCTGGTCGTTGAGATGATCGTTGTGGTAGAGGTCTTTGGTGGTGTTGAAGTGAGTTCAGATTCGGAGGTAGCAGAACCCTGTATGGGCTGACCAGCCTTGAATATCTTCGTTCTAAATCTTTTTCGAATAGCTGGCCTTTTTATCGTGCGACCTTGAGCTGGAGTTGTCTTAGCATTATTTTGACTCGTCAAAAGTTCAGTATTTACGTTTGTATCAGTATCAGGGGCATCGACTGGCTTTTGAAGAGTCGAATGTTCTTCGACTACTTTCGGAGTAACATTTTCAGTAACTTCCTTTTCAGACTGTACAGCATCCACAGAATCGTGCTTGGAATCACTTTCAGCTACAGCATCTTTACTCGTTTCTTGATTTTGCCGATCTCGCAACCTCTGCACTAATGTCCTAATGTTCTTCTTCCGTGCTATCTTCCTATCTACAGGAATATTATCAGCACGCAACGTGGGAATCCTAGCAGGACTTCGCTCAGGATCTCGAGGAGCGTTATGACGTGCGGAGGTGGCAATGGCTGGCTGAGCTCTTCGAGCCAGTCGTGCTGAGAGAGACGGGAACTGTCTTCTCCGACGGACGAGTGGGGCGCTGTAACAGCGAGTGAGTAAGCTTTCCCAATAATAAAATAGATTCTTATATCCCAGTTCGGGTCCTGCATTACCAGAGACTTATGAAACAACTGAAAATTTGTGTTTCAGATTTGATGGTTTAGAATCCTGATAGAACAAGAAACTTTTTAGCACAATAGATTATTTTGGAAAAATTACTATGAAAATTGTCGTTCGGGAGATTAAGTATGCTCAAATGGATTAAAATTAAAATTCACATTAAAAAATGAAATTTAAGCATAAATAGCACATCAGAAGGAATTATTAACTCAACATCAACGTCATCAGCATTTAAGTTTATCCAAGCTACTATTCAATATTATTAAAGGTCTGTAAATTCATATACGTACGTTCCATATGTTTACATGAAATTGTGTTTGGTGATAGGTTAGTCGATCGCAGGATTTACAAGAAGAAAGTCGCATGCTCAAGGCTGACAGTTACAGAGAAGGGCGGGTCTACGGTAATGAAAGAAGACTATAAGAAGATTATAGAAGAGTATATAAATTAATAAAATTTCCCCTCGCCTTTTGAAGGCAAAATAATAGAAACGTTGCTGGAGGAGCATTATAATTAACAGCAGGTCATTAATGGTCTTCGACAACAGCAAGGAATACTTTGAGTGCGATAAACATTCACAACGCACAACATGATACTATGGCTTCCCAAATTGAAATAAATATTATATAATGAGTCAGGTACACAATTCAGTTAGATTCCAAACAATACTGAATGAGTTCACCTTGTGGGTATTATTAGCAAGATGTAATTCCAATATCACCTCCAGCGACGTGTTGTTGATATTTTGAAAGAAAACTTTATTGTTAAAATATGCTCCAGAGAGGAGCTCCCATAACTTTACAACTAAGGAATGCTCACCCGTGAATGACGAGAAGTAACTAGCATTTGTCACCCAAACGAGTGATCTGTCTGGTGCCACATTCCGTCTCGCTTGATCAATCTTCCATTGCGCAGTAAAAATGTCCCAATTCGATGCTCAAGTGGAAGATTTGAGCTTATTGGGCAATGCTAAGAGTAATTGAGCGAGCGGCATGGAATCAAGGGAAGTCTCGATGTTAGGCTATGTTACAGCCAATTATGCAACTTGTTTGAATAAGAATAAAATAGATAAAAAATATACCGTAGAAAATTCGCACAATCGGATATTTTTATTTTTGTGAATAAGTTGTAATTACTAAAGTAGATTATCCTTGAATGATAATATGTGTTCGTTCAGACCCATTGTTTTCCTTCTGGTAAAGTAATAAATTTCAACTCATTTGAAGTGAAAATTTCGTGTTATTTTGATTGTTTTGTAAGGCAAGACTGAGTGTTAGTAAATTGTAAAAATGTACGAAATGTGGTCCGCTTTCATTTAAATAACCTCATGACATGCAATACAGCAATTTTCCTTTTGGCAAATTTCAGATCACATGCTACTCAACACAGTAAATGTTTCATCAAATTAACTGCAAGAATTCTGTGATGGAAGCTTTTGATTCACGTCATACCACTTCATTGTAATTTGTACCGACTTGCGTTCCGCCGATTGCGTATGAAAATTGATGAATTGAACATCAGTATAGTGTGTATCTCATGTAAATAGATAAATTAATATCATCGCTTCACAAGATAGTTTCACAGGCTTTCATTCTAACTGGAGAGTCGAATGCAATAAATAAAAAAATTTGAAATTTAGTCACACGTCGCCAACACATGTCTCTATTCAAAGGCCGCTACTCAGCTGGATTTACTGGTAGTTGATAGTCTCGTATAATTATGATGTAATTCCAAGTATAATTCAGCAGATGACATCATTATTTTTTATAACAATGCCAAAGATATTTTCCTGAAAATATTAAAATATACCGTGGAAAATTCGCACAATCGGATATTTTTATTTTTGTGAATAAGTTGTAATTACTAAAGTACTAAATTACTAAATTCCTTGAATGTAAATATGTGTTCGTTCAGATCTATGGTTTTCCCTCTAGAAAAGTAATAAATTTCAGCTCATTTGAAATAAAAAAATATCGTGTTAATATTATTATTTTGTAAGACAACACTGACTGTCAGTAAATTGTAAAAGTGTATGAAATGTGGTCCGCTTTTATTTAAATAACCTCACGACATGCAATACAGTATTTTTTTTATTTTTGCTATTTTTTATTTATTTTTTTTTTGCTATTTATGAAATGCTACTCAACACAGTCAAAAACTTTGTTGCTTCACGTGATTGTTTCACTGGCGTTCATTCTAACTAGAGAGTCAAATGCAAGAAATAAAAAAATTTGAACTTCGGTCACACGTCGAAAACATGGAATTATTCAAAGGCCGCTACTCAGCTTCATTTACTGGTAGTTGAAAGTCTCGTATAATTATGATGTAATTACAAGTATAATTCAGCAGATGACATCATTATTTTTTATAACAATGCCAAAGATATTTTCCTGAAAATATTCGTGAAATAGTAATTTTAGGGCTTCAATAATTGAGCTATCATTGAAACACAATAGTGCTCATGTTGTGCATGCGTTCTTTTGCGGCAGCCACGGAAGCAAATAACGCAAGCATTGGTACCAATACAGAATTCGCTTTACTTCTGACGGTATGTTTCTTAGCTCCATTATGAATCCCTTTAGACAGATTAATACTTCTAAACATATATAAGTGAATAAAATAACATAATTTTTCTGTTATATTCAATATATCACACCTTAAACGACAAGCATATAAAGTAGGCGCCATGGATCCAGTTGATCGTGTGCACGGAAGCTAAACGTGACAGAAATGCGGAAGAACAAGTAGGGCCTGTTATGTATAAGAGGAAACGCAAGCTGGGGTAGTGACATATTCACGCGCAGGTAAGTAAACTCGTTTGACTATGGAGCCCCAAAAATAAATGTTTTCGTGTTAACAGCATTCAATGTTGTAACAAAAGTCAGTTTTGTCGAATATAGTCAATAGGTGGGTGCGATGGCTCGAGGCCCACATTAGGCAGGTGTTGTGTATGCCATGAGAAAGTCTGAGTTGTTTACATCTCTACACTCGATGCTGTGAGATGCAATGACTTGGAACTGCGTTCAGGAGGATTGAAACCTAATCTAAAGTTTTAGTTTAACAACAAATTGTAGAAATTGAAGATATCAAAGATTTGAAGAGTGTGTGGTTAATGCAGTCAATGGTGTGGAGTTTATTAGTTTATAACAGATTTCTAGCTTGCATATTTACGATCTCCATATTTTAATCAGCATTATCTTGAAGTTTACATCGCGAATTCTTGTTCGGTTTTCCGCGCTCAGTGTATTGTCAATTTATATAAAATAAATTAGAAATCAGGACGATGCTGAAATCTGGTTGAACCTCTTGTATCTGCTATCTTAATTGATTTAGGAAACAAAACTTTGTAAGAATAATGCATACTGGTGTCTTCTATGGCCAAGCGCCCCCGCCCAAGCGTCAAGTCAAGCGAGTGTCTCAATGAAGCACGGCGAGAAGCGCAGGAGATGTTGATGCTGTGAGAGCCAGAAAGGTAAAGGAGAAAGGGAAAGTAAAGGGCTAGAAGAGGTGGGCGCGTGCGCGAATGTCTCAGCTGGGGTCTGATTTGTGGACTGCAGAATGAAATGAGGAACAGATAACCACTTCAACGTCGGCAAATACGTTAAAAAAGTCAACACATCAGACCATGGATTCAGTTTATTGAGGTCTCGTTGTCCAAAAAGCATTGCTATTTTGTCGCTTATGTAAGACACCCTAGTCCAATTTGGCCCGGCATGAGTGCATATCTGTGCTACGTCCGCTCTCTGCTCGGGCTGTGGGTAAGAAAGTGCTTCACAATTTGGATAATATTACTCATTAATTCGCCTGAATCCAGGATAGGGCTTGAGTAGATAGAGGCAACCGACAGGAGAAGTGACACACTGTATAAGCATACTATATACAACGTATAAAGTATTGTATACAGTGTATAAAAACGTGGGTATTTCTGATTCATAAATATAAACCGATATAATCTCGACATAACTTATTTTTTCTGTGTGCAAATGGTTCTACGGTGCTTCATTAGGCAGTACCATGCACGTAAGTACAGACAGTCATTTATCGCCGGGAAATAAAATAAATGCAGAAAATTGTTAAACGTTTATGATTTTAACCGGGAAAAACTAAAAATTGAGCGAACTTATAAATTATTGAGTAAATTAACGTTACTATAAAAATTTTTGCCGAAAATCTTTGATGGTTTCAAACGTACGCGCGCATTAGATAAAAACTGTAAATACTAAAGAGTTAGCCTATCCAACGCTAACGTTAAGCTTAGAAACTTGGACTTTGAAATATGAATAATTTTTGCAACATCTGTAGCTGAAAAATATGGCTGCATGGAAGTGACTTTTTTCTCATCAATTAAACGTTATTATAATAATTTAAAGCCCTCTGTGAAACTTTCATTTTTTTAGAGCCCTCTGAAATTTTTAAAGGAAGAACTGATGCAAAGCTTTTTCAAATTACAATTAGGGCAGTTAATCCGATATTTATAACCGTGATCATGCAAACACAATTCAGATCGCTAATGTTTCAGTTCCCAGTATATACTTATAGGCAGTATATTTAAGCAAAGAAATTATCGCAGAAGATTTTGATTGTAGAAACTTCTCTCCTATTGACGCACGAGCAATGCATACAATCCATGATTTTATGACTAAATTTTCTCATGTCAACACGTTATAGGCGTAAAGTAATTAAGTTGCTCACTAACGATCTTAGTCACGATAAACCAATGATAGAAGAGGAACTTTTCCACATAAGAGAATGAACATTAAACAAGGAACAAAGTACAACAAAACAGTAAACTTCAACGTGAAAAAAGCCGGTAGTCTGTCTTTTTTACCAATAACGCTGAAATCGATTATAGAATTCAATCGTATTTAAAGTATGAATATGATTCGAACTTGATCGTTTTGCCCGATCTTCATATCAGTAAAGCAAATTAAAGCGCTAACAATTTTTCCTTATTAATGAATGGCTCAAAAATATCAATGTAATCCTGCATCGAGCATTTTAACCTGTAAATAATTTTAATAATGTTCGGTAACTTAACTTGTCGATTTTATAATATTCGCGGTCGCATTATTTGATCGTTCGTACGTGACCTAAAAAAAGGGCTCGTTTCGACCTGTTCTTTCGACGAGCATGAATCTAGAAAAATAGCTTGACACTCAACCTCTGGTACGAGGTGAAGCTAACCTTGCGGGCTCCTCCTCAGCGGGAACTTCAGCGGGAACTTCTTCAGGAGCGGTGCGTCCTCTGGAGCTGAGGCCTCTGGTGCGTGAGCTGTCGGCAGTTCCTGTGCTCGGTGTCCTGGCAGCTGCAGCGACGGCCGCCCCTCCACGTGAGTTGCCACGACCTCCTCGACGGTTGCTGAGCCGGGCAGGTGGGGTAGAGGTGGTGCTCCCTGTCCCGGGTGTTCTTGAACTACCAGGTCCGGATGGTCTGGTAACCGTGGGAGTCGCGGGTATTCTAGAGCGAGGTGTAGAGCGTGTGCCAGCCTCCGAAGACGCTGCGGGGCGGGAATTTCGGAGCCGCGTCAGGGTCGCTACTTTTCGCTTAGGAGCCGCTGTGGTGATGGTCACGGGAAGAGGTTCTTCAGGTGCAGCTGCTTCAGGGGCGTCAAGAGAAGGGAGGGAGTCTTCGGCTGTTTTTAAAGTCTCCTTCACATCGTGCATGGTTTCTTTGGTCATTTCTTCCAGCTTCATTGGTGTTTCACTTTTTAAAGTTTCATCCAGAGTTTTAGTTTCTTGCTCATCAAGCCTTAGACCTACTATATGCAGGTCAGCATGAGTTTCTTGAACTTGGCGGAGCATTTGATCGTCACTGGGCTGCTCAGATTCAGGCTTTACCATTTTCTCTGGGATATCTTCAGCAAGTTCACGAGCTTCAAGCACAGGCTCATGAGTTTCGCCAGTGGCAGAACCTGGTCCAACACGAGGTCGACGCTTGAGCTGTAGGAGACGTTGACGACGAGATGATTTGTCATCATCCCCTTCAGAAATCCTTGCAGTTTGCTCCACTAGAGCTTGAGGCTCGACTGCAGCAACTTGTGGTTGTGGGGCTACACCATGTTGGCTGGCAGGACGACGAGAAGCAACTCGACTCACGGGGCGAGAGGCAGGAGGAGCTCTCGATGGGGTTCTGCTTGGTAGCCGACCTCCCGAAGCTTGTAATCTTTCAAGCTCTTCAATCTGAGACGGCTCTATTGGGATGGTACCTTGCTTAAGAGATTGGATGAACGTTGTGGAACCTCTTGTTCGAGATGCCGCATTTGAGGGCTGAGATTGGGTCAGTCGATTGGATGAAGGTCGAGTAGACGGTCCGTCAACAGCTTCTGACGGGCTTCCTTCAGACGTTTCGCTAAAATCTGGCACTGGAGCTAAATTTTTGCGGGGAATGAAAGACGAACTTGATGGACGGCGAATCCGAGGAGCCGCTGGTTGCTCTTCTTCAGGAGCTGCTTCATTCTCAGTTTCGGAAATGAGGCTTTCTCTCGGTTGTCCGCCTATGCGGAACTTCGGGGTTTCGGGTTCTTCGACTATGTCGTTTTCAGGGGCGTCGGCCACAGGAGGTGCAACCTCATTCTGCCCTCGACGGGGGAAGAAACGCTTCAGAGGCCTTTGAGGGGAGGCCAGGGCACCAACCACTGCAAGCAGTGTGAGGCTGCGCAAGAAGAAGATGCGTATTAGGAGTGATAATATTCAAGTAAAAACTTAAAAAACTATGATATTAAGACAAATTGTATTTAAACAATGCAAATTTTTACTTTCACTGACAGTGTCTTTAACACAACATGGATGCATATGATTCTGATCTCTTTCCACAGGAATGAATACATCGAAAGGCCGCGCAACATTCAGAATTTGAAAGTTATTGTATAAGTTTATGACAGTATTAATCAGATTGAATGTTACTATATGCGACAAGTGTATGCGATAAGTTTATGCGGTAATTTTATGGTTCATCCAATACTCTTGCTATCGCCTCAACGACAATGAATTTTACTCATTGATAATACGCATTAAACATTGATGCAATGAATATCCATGCAAGGATAGATCGGGTCACACTATATTTAGAGAAATCTACCCACGTCCGTTTGATTTGAGCTACGTTTTTCGTATATAATAAAATGATAACGAAAGGTTATCAGTGTCGTTTAAATCAATCTGAAATCCCACGTGTTCTGTTCAGGATCAAAAGGCAAGATATCTCTCTCGATGTATGGTCTTTCGTTACCTAAGAACCGGTTTGAATTTAGCAAAGCAGGTCTGAAATTGATGTCAATCCCAGCATAACTGCAGTGACCTTACACCGGCAGCAGCAGCAGCAATGACCGCAGCTGACAGTTTGCTGACCTTTACTGCTCGCTATGAAAAACTTGAATACTGACTTAAAAATATCAAGCAAGTAATGAATTCGGTGACCGTGTAAAAGATCCAGACATAAAGGGTTCGTTTTACTTGCATTCACTGCAGCAGTTGGTTAATTTGACCTGCGCAATACAAAACCGAAACATTGATATATACTTTGCTTTAATTTGAATGAATCTATTAGTGTTCATGACTGACGATAAAATCATGGTGAAAAGACTGGGAAGTTGCCCTGGAAACCCGGGTCAAATTTCAAAAAGGGGGGAAAATTAGCGACCTCAAATTTCTCCACAGGTTACATGTATTTTTTCGGCGTGCACAGAGCAAGAAAAAAATTAATTATGTCAATTGTGTCGCTTGCGATCACTTTAAGTGTTTTTGAGATCTCTTTGAGGAAGCCCTAGATGTTTGAAATTGTGCCTAGAATAATGGTCGCTCAGGAATTAAGACAATTGTAAAAAGTGTGTTTTATTTTCTTCTAAAACATCTGAATATTGAACCTTAAATCTATTAGTGTCAAGTCTTGTTATTTTCATTGTGTCATGACGGTTTTTTGCGATTTCTTTGAAGAACTTAGCAGTTTACAAGAGTCAACTAAAGCCCTCCCTCTACAGCGTCAATTAGTCAATTATTAAGGCTATTGAAGGCGAAGTTTATTTTATTGATAAGTTTTTTTAATATGTTTGGATAGCCAAGCCGAGGGCTTTAAAGCTTTGATACGTCAGTGACAATTCATTTATTTGGCACCAAAATCGACTTAGCACAAAACCAGTCACGCATTTATCATTCGATATTATAACTCAAGTCAGGAAATGGCAGCAAAAAATTCTTCCTGTACATGATATTTTTTAAACTTGCAAGGTTATGTATATCGCGCTCGCATGTTTTTTTTTGAATAATTAAGTGGATATGCCGCATACAACATAGTGCGCAGCAACTGGTGCAGATGAATGTCAGAAATAAACAGTAACTTGACTGAATAAGCGTGAGAACGGCAGTTCATGTGAATGAATCCCATGAGAAACCCCAAAGCCATGAATCCTCTGAGAAAAGAATGTCAAGCGGCAAGGTCATAAGTGTCGCAAAAAAAGGACTCGATCTCAGTCGCGGCAAACGCAAGCGTCAGGAAACGAACAAGTGGAAGTTGAAAGTGAGCTCGAGAGAAGGGGGAGTGCAGTGGGTCGACATAGAGGCCAAAAAGAATGAGCGTTAAACTATAATCATGGAATTTTAGAAAAAGAAGCGTGCACCTTGTGGGAGGTTCGGATTGCAGCAGGTTTTGCAAGGTTTTGGCAAGAATTCATTAAATGTAATGGAAGTAAATCCTGACAAAATTTATGAAAGAAGTTGAAAGAATTTTACGATAAGAAATGTTTACAAATATTTTTGGAAAGTTAATATAAAGTAATCATAAAAATTTTGTGGAGTAGAATCATAATAATATATTGGGGGATTTTGATAGAAAATGTAGGTAAGCAGTGTGGGAAACAAATAATGGTGGCGGGGAATAAATATATGGGGAGTGGGAAATAATGGGTATTGGAAATAAATATTGCGAATAAATTTTTTGTCCCATGGAGACGCTTCTGTTTCGCGTTTCTTATTTGGTTTCAGTCATCATTGGTTTGTGAAATAAATAATTAAACTCACAGGAAGGAAATTTGAAAATTATAACAGGAAATAGTTTTGAAAATTTTCAAGAAGGAATCCTAAAAAATTTTCGGGTGGCAGTCTGACAGTCAATGCAATTGGTGGTAACGATTTATATGGAGAAAAAAAAAGTAGCGGGAGTTCTCGCCACAAATATATACACTTTTATGCAATCTATAAAAAACATTCACATCCTTCACGTATGAACTCATTCGTAAGTTTTCATTTGCCCAAAATGAATTCCCACGATATTGAATTGTTTGCGAAAGCTCTATATATACACGCAGCTACCCTTAACCTTTCCGTCGTCCTGATTTTATTCCTTACTTGCATAATGCATCGTGCTATGTTAGTTCGGTTGTCGATCTTGCATGACTTTAACCTGATGCAGGTATATCACCTCCCCCTCCCCTATTCCGCACCGAAAGGAAGGGTTCTATAGCAGGTAACATGGGTGGCTCTCTATATAAAATAGGCTCTATATACAGGCTTGGAAATTAGGCAAGGCTCAGCGCTGTTCAAGTGCGTCGGCCATTCATTGGGAAGCTATAAATCACATTCCATGTTGTAAGAGACCTTATAATGTAGCCAAAAAATATTTGTGGATAACAATGCAAGTTTATAAATGAAGCAGAATGGTTCTAATACTTTAAGAGCAGCATTCCAAAGTGCGGATTAAGCTACAGCTTTAACGATACTACGCAGATCATACAATAACACAGGATACCTCCCCTATTCCGCACCGAAAGGAAGGGTTCTATAGCAGGTAACATGGGAGTATAATAGGCTCTATATACAGGCTTGGAAATTAGGCAAGGCTCAGCGCTGTTCAAGTGCGTCGGCCATTCATTGGGAAGCTATAAATCACATTCCATATTGTAAGAGACCTTATAATGTAGCCAAAAAATATTTGTGGATAACAATGCAAGTTTATAAATGAAGCAGAATGGTTCTAATAATTTTAGAGCAGCATTCCGAAGTGCGGATTAAGCTACAGCTTTAACGATACTACGCAGATCATACAATAACACAGGATCACAATAACACAGATCATACAATAACACAGGATCCCATTAACACATCACATTAACACATGATTCAATATCAAAGGATCATAATAACAAAGAATCATGTGGATGTATAGCGCTAAGATTGCCGCTGGTTGGACGTCACTTCCTGTTACAGCTCACGCTGCTTTATCTTACCTCATAAAAATGTCACTTGCTTCTCATGGCAAACCACTAAACCAGGCAAAAATAAATGATACAAACATGCACGAGTTGCATGAGCGAAAGCTACAAGAAGTGAAACGCTCGGACTTGGAGTAAATCGGAAACCACGTTGCACCCTTTGATTGGGATACGATCAAGATTTCAAATCTTTGTTGACAAAAAATGTATTTAATTTACTTTTTTTCAAATGCGTGTGAATAACGAAGGATAATGAATACTAAAAAATTGTCAAAACATTGAGCGTGACTGTATCGAACTGTACTTATTGCACTGAACACAACCAATTCCAATTAAACTTTCCATTTATGGGGAGTCCAAGAAAAAAAGCGTGATTGAGTGTGCATTTAAATCCTATTATCTAATGCAGAATGGGTACTTCGCCACTTAATTAAAAATAAATTTAAGCTTTTTTCATGTAAATAAATAGCGGATGAAATAAATTAAAGATTTTCTTGGAGTTGCGACTACGAACAGAGGAATTTTTTACATGACAAATGCTCGTACTAAAAATGTCGGGGACGATCGGTCAAATTGTCGCGTCTGCGGTCATGAGGCCAGGTACGGATGTGGTCATCGTTATGATAACCCACATAGTCTCTCTCGCCTGACCTTCAAACACAAAAAATGCTGTAAGTTTCTATTTAATCTCGATCAGGACACCATGCAGGCCGCCAAATTTCACCGAGAGTCTAGCCTCTTTATCGAGCAGCCAATCTTCAGCAAGAACACATCATTGACACCAAGAGTGTGCACAAGCTACGTATTTATATACTATAATTTGTTGATAACACTATTTCTTACTGATTGCTAACTTGTCTCTGTTATTTGTATCAATATTTAATTTAGATATAATAAGAAAATATTTATTCAGTCATTACAACTCGCGGATGTTCCAAACACATGATCTGCAAAAATGGCAAAGCCAAAATTTCAAGCCAAAATTTCAGTTGTCATTCGAATATTGGGGGTTGTGTGACATTGGTTTAAAATTATTTATTCATTTACTACCCATGTTTAAAATCGGCATGGACTTTGTTAAACACTAATTTATAATAAATTGTTATATTATCACAATTGTAAATTCAAGGATTGCATACTGATCTCAATTGTTATAAGAAACCCATATATAAAATAAGAATCGGAATATAAATGATAATTTTCTAATGTAGCTCAGTGTGAAGACTATATTGAATTGCAAATTTGGTTTTCTAAGTAAAATCTCAACAGTTTTTTATTCAGCCATCTGTGCGGAGTACAAGGCTAGCAATAACTGGTCTCGGGAGCTCGTCACCGGGTCACCTAGCCCGGCTACCTTGAGCTCAGGCGCAAGCAAATCTTCAATCCTTGCTGCAATATAGCGGTCTACTGGCCTTAGATTAGAGCTAAAGTGACCTTAACCATGTTGCTC